CACAAGAACCAGGTTGGCTGTGGTTGTTTGTCAAACTTTCATTATTTTATACCACACACTCACTGTGGAAAACTCAGAAAATATAGATAAGCAAAACGAAAAAGTTTAATTAGCCATGATTTTGCCACCTGGAGATAATAAACACTCCCAGATTTCCCCCCACATCTATAAATTCTTTTGTTTTTTTCAAGTGGGCTCATGCTGTACAAATGATTTTGTAATTTGGCTTTTTTTTTCCACTCGGCAATATGTTGTGAACATCTTTCCATATCAATAAATATTTATCTACATCATCATCTTAACAGCTGCATGGCTCTCCACTGGATGCGTTAATTCACCCAAGCCCTATTGTTGGACACACACTCGTCCCCTGCCCCGCCTCTCTCTCTCTCTCTCCCTCTCTCTGTTCTAGATCCCACGATGCCGCCCAGTTGCTCCAGACAGGTGCAGCTCCCAGCCTCCCCCACTACTCCCATCATCGTGGCCTGGCTGAGGCCCCATCTCGGTGGCCCCTCCTCTCCTCCCTCCCTAATCTAAGGGGCTCAACATCCGAAGCCTCAAGCCGATCCCTAGACTGACAGAAAGCTGCAGGCCTTGGAGAGAGGGTGCCTGGATGCCCTTCTGGGCCTTCAGCCGAAATGTGCCCCCACTTCAAGCCAAGGTGGGGACAAGGTGGTCTCCCACCCCCTCTGGCCCTCCCCTGTGTCAGACTCTGCCAGGCTGCCCTCCTGCCTACGGGGCCCAAGTGCCTCCTGGGACAGATCAATAGTACACCTGTACACCTGGCCTCAACCTACACACCAGATGCCTAGCGTTTTCTAAATTTGCCAGCCTCTAATTCAAGTCACTAGACTGCTGCCCACTGGCTCCCCCGGTGCCCCTGTCCCATCCTCAGTGTTTGGCACAGCAGGGTAGTCAGCAAACGCGGGTGGGATGAAGAGAACTTGGGTCTCTCTGGTGGTGGACTCCTTGGCCATCCCGAGTCCAGTCATCCCACGCGGGCCCCAACCCTGAGGAAGGGAACTAGGGCTTGGCAGCCACTAGATGGCGCTGCTCAGCTGCCCAGGTTCCAGCAGCAGCAAGGCGCCGCAAAGGGGAGAACGCGGGTCTCACCGTCCTAGGAAGGGTTCCTAAAACCCAAATCTGTATCGCCCAGAGGGATCACTCCATTTATCCTCTAGAAGTCGCTTCTAACTGCTATGAAAGTGCCCTCTAGAGGAGAGCACGGCCATGGCCGTTCAACAGCTGTGTGATCTTGGATGAGTTCATGAACTTTCTCTGAGGCTCCATTTCCACACCTGTAAAATGGGGACTCACAACACTTACTCCCGAGGTAGCTGTGAGGGTAAAATCAGTGAAAGGCGGACACAGCAGTTGCTCCACAAAGCAAAGCTTGCATTTAATAACACCTACCAGCTGCTTTACCTATTTACATGTCAGCGATGGGTGGGCCCAGAGGGGCCGGAGCTGGGTCTTCCAGGGGGCGCTGCCATGTCTTGTTAATTCCCCTGGGGGCGGGAAAGGGACCGTGTATAGGTACCTCCCCAGGACAGTTACCTGGGGGTATGGAGAGAACACAGGGCGCAGCAGCCAGTGAGGAGAACGTAGGAGGCAACACCCTTTGCCCCCAAACCACTGGTTGGGTATGGCTTTGTATCCGCCAGGAGACAGCTGTGAGTTATCTCTGCCCCAGAGGAGCTACTTTCCAGCCTGCTTTGCTACCTCCCTGACTCCCCCCAGGGACTCTGTCCTTCCAACCTTGACCTTCCCCAGCCAGAGACGAGGCCCACAGCTCCACTGGCTTGAGAAGCTCTTGTGTTTTCCTATTTTATTTTATTTTTCTCAAGTAGGCTCCACACCCAACGTGGGGCTCGAACTCACAACCCCAAGATCAAGAGTCACACGCTCCATTGCGAGAAGATCTTGGTGTGTCAACATGTCCCATTGGAGTGGGTCTCTCCCACACCTCAGCCTGAGGCTTCCCAGGGAGAGGGGCCCCATCGATAGGGACTTCCTGATGTTAGGACCTATATCTTCCCATCAGAATGGAGTCTCCCTAATACGGTCCCTTAGGACACCCTCTCTTCTTGGACGGGAGCTCCCTGATGTGAGCGCTCAAGGCCGCCGTCTCCCCGCTATCAACCGGAGGAGGGCTACCTCAGGCAACCACTGGTTCCTTCTCCTGTCATCTGTCAGCCTGTGCCAAGCCAGCTCCATGGGTGAGACGTGCCCAACCCCTGCAGCTATAGAAGGGCTCCTGGATGGACACCCCCCCACCCCCACCCCTCCAGACTCCTGCGCCTTCCTCTTTCATGGCCGCTGTCCGCTCATGGTTGGAGGCATCAGCTCACTCACCTTCACAGACCTAGGGGCCAGACTACTGCACTGGGGTTAATAAACTTGGACCCTTTCTCTCCCCGCCTCTCCCCACCCTCCCGGGTCCTTCAGCCTGCCCCCCACTTTCCAGCCTCTAACCCCGAGACCTGCTTTTTAATTGCTTTCCTCGATCTGTTCTGCTCCCTGCTCCCCTGCGCCTCCCTGCCTGACTGAGTCCCTCTGGGAGGGTGAGAGGTGGGGGCCAGATGTGTCCCTAGTGGGAGGAGAGGGCTGGCAGGCGGCCTGTTATTTCTAATCCAGTGGTCCTTCAAGTGGACAGGATGAGCCAGGGAACGGGGTTGGAGGGCAGCAGGCGGGCTGCAGGGAACACTCAGGGAGAGCTGGAAAATACAGCCATGGCCTCCAGGCCCCTGGGGGCGGCCCTGGCCACCTCCTCCCCCCACAACCTCCATCTCAAGCCCTCCGAGGTCCCTCTTCACAAAAGAACCACGGAGGAGAAGACAACCATGAACTAGATTCTGTCTGCGCACCAGGATCTTCCAAGCTTAGCTAAGAGCCAGAGAGGGACACTCCTGGGAAAACCTAAGACAGATGTGCAGGGATCTGAGAGGGAGGGCTCCTAAGCTAGCAGCATGCCACACCCCATGTGGTGACAAAGTCCCCTGTGGGGGCCGAGCTGATGGCTGGGGGTGGGAGGATCCAGAGGGAAAAGCGAGGTCCCTCCCATTGACAGGTCTCAACACTAAAGATTTGGGCCTTACGCTCAGGTGAAAGGGACAGGCACCATCCTGACTCTCTGAGTGAAGGGACAATGTCTTGTTCTCTGTGTCCGCAGCTCCTGGCACTGAGCCCGTTTCTTTGAACCGGGCAGGACTTGGTACCCCAGTGTGGGGTCCGGACACCAGCTTCGGGGCCTCAGGTGGGCAAGGAGATGGGTGCCAAGGGCCTGGGAAGAGACTATTCTAAACTCCCAGTTGTGGAGTGAGAGGCTCTGCCCAAAACCCCAAGGGGAGAGAGGCCGGTTGGAGCAGGAAGTGGGCCCTGACTTAGATCAGGCTGGGCCTGCCGTGGATGGGGGCGCCATCGATTGCCGCGTCTCCAGGAAGACTCTCTTTATGTAAGAACAATCCAATCTCAGAGCCTCATCGCCGCCCATGGAGGTCAGCTGGGACCAGCCAGGTTGCCTCCCAGCCAGCAGGACACCATGCAGCGAGCACCCTCAGCCCGACCTCCTATGATTGAGGGCAGGAGCCACACGTGCTTAACTCCATCGGCAGAGTCTTTGTACATTTAATGGGTCACCCGAGAGCGCATCTTGCACCGCGGAGCCACCAATGTTTGCTGAGCCAATGGCCGGTTGCAGAACATCCTTGTCAAGCGTGACCCCTTCCACTCGCTGGCTGCCCCCAGCCTAGGCAAATTCCGCCTCGTGCAATGGACCCTGTTGTGCGAGGCTTGCCCTTCTGGCCCTCGTTACCGGCTGCCATGTCCTGTGTCTGCTGCCCCCGTGCTTGCAGGGGTGATGGTGACTATCAAGTGAGATAATATATGTGAGGGCCCCAGGAAATGGGCAAGCTATTCAATTTGAATCCAACCAGCACTCGGCGAGGTCTCCTAAGGTCAAGGCACCATGCCAGGCGGCTGGGGGCTACAGAAGGGAAGCTGTGACTGCTTCCGTGGGAATCATGGAGCACAGGGGGGAAAACCTCATTAAGACTAATTGGAGAGGCGGGAACCCCAGGCACGCAGAAAGAAACGATGCCTGTTCACTTCTAAAGGCAAGCAGCTTGGTGCGATGCAGAGAACCAGACCCTGGTCGGGACCCTGGTCCAGCCCCTTGCTGTCTAACCCTGGGCACGTTTTGTTAACCTTCTCGAGTCTCTTTTCTCATTATACCTCATCAGGTCGCGAAGTTTTGTGGGATGCCTGCAGCTGGCAGGACCCAGGGCGCCTCTTCCGTGTTCTTCTCCCTATTCCTCCAAACAGGAGTCCAAACTGAGTAGAGCAGGGCTCGCCAAGTAGAAGGGGGGGCTGCTCCCCCAGAACAGCGAGGACTCATTGGAAATTAGCAGCATTGTTTACACGCTACTCGCAATGTGCTAAATACCTTTAACATGTTTGTTTTGAGAAGCAAGTTAAACACAGACTCCTGTAATTTTGTTTACACTATCAATTCATTCAGCCAGCCGCATCTTCCTGGAGACAGAGGCGAACCTGTGTTGAACCATCGCAACCCAAATGAGTGGAGAGGAAGACCGAGGCGTGGGTGTAGGGCGTGGGGCTTTCTGGGTGTGGGGTGTGGGCTTTCGGAGCTGGAGGAAGATGGCACTGGGTTCAAGAGGTCGGGGCTTAGCCTTGAGCCTCACCTGAGGCCTTGTGGCAGCTAAACATCTCCCTGACCGCAGGACTCTTAGCAAGCTCTGCCCAAGGGCACAGAAGCACGGTGCAGGCCTGCAGGTGTGGCGGGATTCTTCACCCGCTCAGGGGCAGAGAGTGGGCGATGGGGCCGCAGAGCAAGCAGGAGAGCTCACCCCCAGGCCCAGACCTAAGGCTGCCGGAAGGAGGCAGTGGGGAACGTTTTCTATACTCAGAAGCGTCTTGGGAAGGTGTTCCTATCCCGTGCATATGTATAGAAACACACACCAAGGATAGAGATGGTTTATTAATCATTATGATAAAAAAATAGATCTATATCTACATGTACATATATATGTATATATGCAGAAATAAAGGATCAGAGGATATAAAGCCGAGTATTAACAGCTCTTACATCTAGGTGGTAGCATGAAGGCTGAATTTCCCTTTCTTCTTTACGCTTCTTTTTATACTGAGTGTGCATCCTGTTTGCAACAGGGTACAACACAATAAAGCTATCTTCATTTAGAAATCAAAACACTACTATCATCTGCATCATCGCTAGGATGGCACCCTGGGCTGGGGCTTCTGCTCCGGGCTGCAGGGAGGAGGCTGACGGTGCCTCCCTCTCTCACACACCAGGGAGAGACAGGCTGGGAGCCCCCACCACTACCCACCCCATCCCATCCCATTCCATCCTCGCCCCTTCTTCATTGCACAGCGGCCGTGACTGCACAGAGCTCTCTGTTGGGGGGGGGGTGGGGGCAAGTCCCCCAAGGCCACCTGGTCGCATGGAGAGTGTTATGAACTAGAGGAGGTAAGGTGGTTGCACCTTTAAAATAGCAACATGTTAACACTCAAGATGAATATATGCAAGCTGAGAAAATGAGTATAACAAGAGATTGATAAAGAGGGCAGGTAGCAAAATGAATGGCTGGTGAGGAGTGTTAATAAAGGAAGAGGGTGTTGCCATTAATTGCTACGAGGTGAGGAAGGCAGGTCAGGACTCTCGGCGCAGGCGGTTCCGGAGACCACGAGGGGCCGGCGGGTCAGGACACCTTGGCCACAGAGCTCCCAGATGACAGGGCTCCCCCAATCCCCATCAGTTCCTGCTGGCTCCTCTGGTTACCCGGGCAGCGGGGGCTGGAGGGGGGTTCTGCCGGCCAGTTGGATGGGGACAGGCAGGGAGGAAGAAAGTGAGGCTCTGTCCCACTGCTCCCCACCCCCCTTCTCCCACTTCTCTCGTCAGTGTCCCTAAAATGCTGGGAAATACACCAGGCCTTCCTTTCACCTGGGTGGTGGCCCTCCTGTCCCCTCCTACTTCCTGCCTGCCTCTCCCATGGTGGCCCAGACCATCCCTGTCCCTAGTGCCAGTCACCTGGGATTGCGAGGGGCCCAGATGGCCTCTTCAAGGTACTGCTGGGAAGGCGGGCGATGCGGCTGCGGCCTCGGGCCGCTCCCAGGGAGTGGGAGACTGAGGAACTGAGGGAGGAAGGGAAGGAAGGTAGGAAGGTCACAGCCACGCCTTGGGACTGCAGGGTAGGGTTGGAGGGGCAGAGCTAGACACTAAACCTTGAGAGCAGGGGTAGGGGCCAAGCACCAGCATGAGTTTCCAAGGCCAGATCTGAAGGCAGGAAAAGGCAGTGCAGAGGAGAGCTTTGTGGAGTGTGGGAGGGAAGTAGAGGTGAGCGGTGGGTGATCTGTTCCCCAGATTAACCAGTGAACACTGAACGTCTCCCTCATGGAGAGGAGCCTGTAGCCTTTCGATAAAGATGGAAGATACCCTTCCCTTCTGGCACAATCCTGTACCCTGCATACCAACCGCACCCCCCCCCCCCCCCCCCCCCCCCCCCCCCCCCCCCCCCCCGCCCAGCCTCACCTCACAATGCGCCTCCTCTTGCGGGCTGAGCTCCCAGGGAAGGAAGATGTTGGTTTGGGGCCTTTCATGGTGAACAGGGGCACAGGGCCGCTGCGGGAGGGAGGGAGGTAAAGGAAGGCAGGTCAGAGGGAACCAGAAAAGGGTGCCAGCGCCTCCTCCCCCCAGCCCCCTGCTTGGCGGGTGGGGAGGTTGGCTAAGATGACCTCTGAGGTTTCTTCCTACTTCGAGGTGGATTCCTCTCCCTGCCTCACTCGGCCTGGGCTGACAGCTGAGTGACAGGCCTGCTCTGGGAGAACATCCAGATGTCAGTTTCTGGCACGTTCAGGGAGCTGCAGTTCAGACAATTTGACCCTTCCACCTGCCCGGCTCTGAGCTTGTTACTGAGAGGTAACTGTAGGAGGGGCAGGGGGTGCAGCGGACAGCCCACCGCCCTTGGCCCCACAAGTACAAGGTCAGTCTGCCATTTGTTCTTGGCTTTGGACTGTCCCGAGCTGGTCACTCTTCCCCTTTCCTGTGGGTGGAAGGTGAAGGGGAGAGCTTCATCTTCTCACTGAGAAAGGGCTGAGTAGAATTTTCTGAGGATTCGCCTTCCCAGTTCCAGATGCCGGGCTGGAGGGTGAAATCCAGGTGGAAATGGCAGGAGCACGGATTTCTCAGCAGGACTTGGAACTGAGACCGAGCCAGAGAGTACCAGTGATGCAAAGGAAGAGAGGGCTAGGCCCCCTCCTTATTCCTGCTCCCTGGCGGCCGGGCCCGAGAGGGGGGTCCCGTTAGCTCCTGGTGGGCCTGCCACAAACCAGCACAGAGCCGGCGGCTTTGAAGTACGGACAGACAAGTTAGGGAGGAGTGGCCCTCCCGGGCCTGGGGAGCAACACTGGTCAGACCAAAGGGAGAGAGATGGCAAATGTCCCAGCTCTGAGAGTCGGGTTGGCTTCCACTCTGGGCAGCACGTCTGTCCCTTGCCGACCCCCAGACCCTTGCCCGGAAGGATGGGAGGGAGGCTGGAGGGGTGACCCACCTGGGGATGAAAGGCTGATCCAACCTGCTCGGCTCCTGGGGGACATTCTCCCAGCCAGCGCATTCAAGGAAACCCAGTTTTGAGGGGGGCTCCTCGGAGAGGTCAAAGGTGGCGTTGAGGTCCCGAGAGGGCAGGGCCAGAGGGGTGGAGCAGTTCTGCACAGCAGAAGGGCCCAGGGGCACCCGGCTTTTGATGACGGTGGCTGGGCAGATGCGAGGGGAGTGGCAGGAAGAGGGGGCCTTTCCCCCTTTGGGGGTGGTGGGCCCGAGTGAAGGCTGAGCCTCAGGCAGGGACCCCCTCCTCAGGCAGGGCAGGAAGGACTGGCGCTGGCGTTTGGTCCCCGGCTTAGGGGCTGGGGGGCTGTCTGGCTTGGAGGGGCTCGGTCTCCTCCTCCTCTTCTTCTCTGTGGGCCGCTGGGCTGGGGTGCGGTCGGGCCCTGGGAGGACCCCCAGAGTGTGCATGAGGCCACTCAGTTGCCTTGCCATGGTCCGGGTCACGGGGCCAGAGTATCCTGGAGACCCTGAACACAGAGAAGGCAGGTGCTCAGGGGAGATTGGGGACCAGCCAGAAGGAGGGAGAATTTGTAGGACTGGGGGAGAGAGACACAGGAGCCCCTAACTCCACAGGTCTGCAGGGGCTCCTGTCTACCACTGCGTGACCCAGCAGCTGAGGCCCCGGCCACCCCTCTGCACCAGCTGGGCCGTAGAGAGGGCGCTGATAGAGGCAGAGCAGGGGCAACGCTCACCTGACTCTGAGCACAGCTCCAGAGGTGCCTCCCTGGCTGGGCCAGGTGGGCCCGAGGCCTCGGCTCCGGGCTCAGCTTTCTCCTCTTGCACCAGCCGCTGCAGGGTCTCGAACTCTGTGATCATGTCAGGGGTCAGCAGGTGGGCTGCTTGGAGCAGGGAGTATTGCCGCCGCGCCAGGCACAGCACCTTCAGGGCCAACCTGGAAGGGAGGGAAGGGGATCCCGCCCTTCCTCAGACCTGGCCCCACTGCCCCAGTGGTGAGGGGCACACGAGGGAGGACCCCCTGGCTCCCTCCTGCCCTGCCCCCACACTGTCGCGCTGGCCTCCCCGCCCTCCCAGCTGTGGCCCTTGCCCTGCTACCCCCTTGCTGGAGATGATCTGGTGGTGACAGTCACAAGGACAATGACCTGGGAGGTAAAGGAAGGGCACTAAACGGCCTTGGACCGGAAGGTCTGAGTTTCCTCTCAGCTCTGCCCCTTACTAGCACTTGACCTTGAGTAAGTTCATCGACCCAAGCTCCTGCACTTGACGCTGTGTGATCTCAGAGGCACTACTAAACCTCAGTCTCCGCATCCTTAAAATGGGAATAATAACACATACACCTGGCTCTTAGGGTTGTTGGGAAGATGAATAGAATTATTTTATATATAAAGTATTTAAAGAGTGCCTGGCTCATACTAAGCACTGTAAAGTTAATGGTTACTTGTAAAATAAAAACATCTAGCTTCTTAGAACAAGAGGAGATGAAATTAGATACGCTGTGTTGGCTTTGGTTCTGAGAAGACTCTCAAAAATGCATTCAGTCTACTTAATGGTGGGGATCCTGAAAGAGCACGTGTGAATCAATGCGCACTTCACATGCACTGAGGGGCTATTTAGAGGGAATTATGAGGGTAATGCGATTATTGATGTTGTAAATTTAGATTCTAATAAAGCAGATTTCCTTTCTGTGAGGCACACCTCTGATAAAAGAATGAACACAGTTATCTCGGTGGGGCTTACTCATGGCCAATAATTTATCCTCAGGTAGCTCTACCTGCCTGGCCATCTCTGAGCCCCCTCCTCTGCCTTCGGTGTGTGCTCAGGGAATCCAAACTCATTTTGTAAAGCAGCCTCCAGGCCTTTTTGAAAGAAGGCCGGATATAAATTAAAAAGGACACAGCAGAAACTCATTCTACATCTGCCTGAGCCACACATTATAAGATTAGACCGCTGAGAAAACTGCGTATCTAGGGAGAAATGCATAGGCCTGGATGTCAGGTGACCGGGGTCTCGCCCTGTCCCTTTGGTTGTGTGGCCCTGAGCAGATGCCTGAGTACCTCGTCTGGCAAATGGGGATCTGATCTATACCACAGGTTCCCAACTTAGGTTTCGAGAAACCCATCAGAGGACATTTAAAATGGAGCTCTGCTTTATCTGTTCTACATATTAAACTTCAGCCTAAGATTTCATTTGAAGAAAGGACTTTGTAGCTAAAAAAAATTCTGAAGAGCCACTGAACCGGAAAATCGAAGATCCACTCAGTGCCCTGGTGGTCTAAGATTCTAAAGTCTAAAGCCAAAGAGAAATGATTTCCCATGATCTGGTTGTTAGGGTGTTTCCAAGTATGGAGATGATCTAGCACGCTCTGCAGCCCCTGAAACATGGGGTCTTCTGTCACATTTTATTAGTGTCTGTTATCGGCTCCACGAAGTAGGGAGAACGAAGACTGTGATTCCCCAAATCATAGCTAAGAGTGACGCACCTTGCTGGGGACCACAAAACCAGAGGCAAAGAAGCAGAAACGAGAGCCCCAGTGTTCTCCCTCCTCACAGCGGGGGACACCGGGCACAGAGACCCTGACTCATCAGGGGGAGCCTTGGGGGCCAAGGGGACATCCTGCCAGTGCATCCTGGCCCCCGCCAGGGCCCCGGGGAGTCAGCAGCAGGAGACAGATAATGAGCCGCTGATTATTCAAGCTGCAGCATTTTTGCTGAGTCGGGAACAGACACTCCCCAACAAGAAATAAAATTAAACAGGCCCTTCTGTCCGGAAGCTTTAAATATACTGCCTAGCGTGAAGCATGGTGGGGAGGCAGGAGCAGGGTTGGCAGAAGCAAAGCTAAGTGGCACGGGATTTATGGTCTAGGGGCCAAGGAAAACCATACTAGCAGCACCTCTCTATTAAGCACAGAAAGAAGGGTCCAGAATCCATTTCCCTTTGGCTTTGGGTGGTGGTCTGTATTTACTTCTGAGAAGAAATAGCCACCGTCTGTTGACTCAAGAAAGCTGTCCCTTTCTCAGCCCGCCACCCAACTTCTCTTGGCTGCTTGGTTCCTCCTCGAAGAGGACAGACGGGCAGCTCAGCCCCCAGGCTGGGGAGCACAGCACCAGCCAGGCAGCCGTGTCCTAACTGGGCGCTTGCCAGCCAAGTTCCGCATGAAATTTGGTGTTTGGCTCGCCAGTTATGTGGAAGAAGAGAGATGACGGGTGAGTACACAGAGTAGGTGATAATCTTAAGTCGCTGAAAGCAGATCAGGGACGATGTTGAGGAAAAAAGACTCGATTCTTAACTAGAGTGGAACCCAGAGCTTTGGCGATGTGCTGAACGCTGGCTCCCCAACCCCTCCCGCCCCACCCCGGCCCCATCCCAGAAGGCCGGAACCCACCGCCTCCCACCTTGGGCCCCGGAGAAGAGCAAGAAGACACCTACTGCTTAGAAGGGTCCCTGCCCAAGTTCTGTGGTGAGAAGCAGCCCGTGTCTGGCTTGGGCTGCAGGGTCAGATCAGGGGACCTTGGTAGCGGGTGTCTGAGGGTCTGCTCTGGTACCTGGATTGCAACCTAAGGAGGAAGGGAGTCACAGGTAGAGGGTCCAGGATGGCCACCCTCCCCTACATAAGCAGATCTTAAAATCTTTCACTCCTCCAAGGTGGGGGGGGGAGGGAAGAAAGAGGGGATATCTTGGGCTGACCAGGTCCCAATTGAGACTCTCTGTCTTGGGCCCCTCCTCCCTCCCTGGTCCCCTTCTGGTTACATGCATGCTCCTCACTTCCAGACACAGGCTCTGACAGAGGAATGCCCCTTCCTGCACAGGATCTGAAAGACCCTTAATGACCAAAAGGTAAGACATCCAGGTAGGGAACCCAGAACTGCAGAGACCCCGTGAGCTGAGGAGGGACCTTGCTTCCAACCTTCTACTAGCTCCAGGTCCTACCTCCTCAGCTGGGTCTGCGTCCTGGTCCTCTGGGGGCAGCTCCCAGTCTGGAGAGTTCCTTTCCCTGGTCCTCCCCACCTGGGCCTCCTCTAGCCGCAGGCTCTCCTCTGGAAGCACTGCAGACCCTCGGTGGAGCTCTGGGTTGCAGGGCTGGCTGGGAAGGCGGGATGGTGAGGGGCAACTGGGAAGGCTGAGGGGGAAAGGAGGGGGCTTGAAAGGTGGGAAACAGGGCCAGGTGGGGAAAACAGGGAGGGGCGGAGTCTCTGTGGCCCCAGGTGGTAGAATAAGGGATGGATGCCTGGGGAACAAGTGGGCAGTGGCAGAGGGTGAGAGAGGGAGTCGGTGCTTTTCTGCTTTAGGAAACAATAACACCTGTCTGTTAATTTCACCTTCTTTTAAATAGTATACGCTCCTTATATGGGCTGGGGGAGTCACTAACTCACCTGACACAAGAATTGCTTCCATTCTTGTTTTACTTAGAGGTGCTATTAGGGCTGTCTAGAATGTGCTGTGTCAAATGAGAGAGAGCCCTGGAGGTGACAATCCATGTCTTGTCACCCAGAGTGTCACCTAGAGTGACAATCAGGGTGGTGGGCACTGGCTAGGAGGCCCCAACCCTAGGTGGCAGCACGGAAGCGGGGCAAGGGGGGTTTTCCCTGCTGAGCCGAAGAGCGTAAGTGTGGCAGCAGGACTCACGCATGCTGGGGAGGGCCGGATCTGGGGGACTTCGGGGGGCCTTGGGGTGGTGCCTGGGCTCCTGCCTCGTACATTTGGAGCTTCTCCCTCAGGGTAGCCACCTGCAGTCAGAGCAACGCAGCCGCTCAGAGCCCCAGGTGAGCACAGGAGCTGAGGGGTGGCCACACCCCACTGCTCCTCTCTGGCACCCTGCCTCCCAGCCAAGGTCCCCAGGCGGGCTCCTCACCTCAGCCTGCAGCTGCTGGCAGATGGTGGCATACTGGCTGATGTGACAGTCCAGGCTGATCACATTACTCTTCAGCTGAGACCAGGCGGGGGGGAGGGGAGAGGCACAAGAGAGAGATTTGTGTGTTCATTCAGAGCAGCTTTTAACGACCCCCTCCGATGGCCATGCCCTGTGCTAGGCGCCTCACTCACATTCCCGAGAAGCATCCTCCCTACTGGGGAAACAGATCGAGGAAGGGCAGCGGCTTGCCTGAGACCACAAGAGGTACAAGGATGCTTCTGAGGGGCGCCTGGGTGGCTTAGTCGGTTAAGCGTCCGACTTTCGCTTAGGTCATGATCTCGCGGTTCGTGGGTTCGAGCCCCGCGTCAGGCTCTGTGCTGACTGCCAGCTCAGAGCCTGGAGCCTGTTTCAGTCTGTGACTCCCTCTCTCTGACCCTCCTCTGCTCACACTGTCTCTCTCTCTCTCCTAGAAATAAATAAAAATAAAAAAAAAAAAAAAAAGGATGCTTTTGAACCCAAGACCCCTGACTGCCTGACCAATACACTCTCACCAGGCCAGGGGCTTCCCAGCAACAGCTCCAGGAGCATCAAGGCTCCTTGGAGGAGGCAGGGACAGCTCTGCTTTTATCTGTGTTACATGTTGCTGTTTATGTTGTTTGGCTGAAAATACTGTCCTGCTGCTAAAAACAAGTCTGAAAAAGATCACTGGCCAGCACTTGGCCACCCCCTTCTGTTGTCTCCCTCTCCCTCTTTTTTTTTTTTTTTAATTTTAAAATGTTTTTAATTTATTTTTGGACAGAGAGAGACAGAGCGTGAGCGGGGGAGGGGCAGAGAGGGAGGGAGACACAGAATCCGAAACAGGCTCCAGGCTCTGAGCTGTCAGCACAGAGCTGGATGTGGGGCTCGCACCCACGAACCACGAGATCATGACCTGAGCTGAAACCAAGAGCCAGATGCTTAACTGACTGAGCCACCTGGCTGCCCCTTATTATTTTTTTCAAGTCTGGGGACTGTCCTGACTCTCCCCCAACCGGAGTCTTCCTAAGGACGGGTACTGCATGGCTTCTATCACAGATCTGCCCTGAAGACAGAGGCTGGGGGACGTCTTCCCTCTGTCTCGTCAGATAGAGGAGAGAGAGCTGTGTGGGGCCCATCCCTCCCTCCTCCTGCACCCCTACACCAGGTTGGCCATCTCTGGCTGCCACACACCGAGAGCTTGATCTCTTTGGCCCGGTCGGCATACTTGAGGGTGTTGTATGTGTCCTCGTAGGCCAGACTGGAGGGGCTGACGGTAGCGATCATCACTGTGCGACAGTTGCCCCCGATGGAGTCCTTGAGCAGACGGGTCAGTTTGCTGTCCCGGTAGGGCACATGAGACTTACGGCCCTGGGAAGACAGCAAGAGGGTACGGGGTGTGGTGGCCAGACTGGACGGACCCAGGCTGAGACCCAGGGCTGGAGGGAAGGACCTTGGGCCCAGGGCCCTCGGACCCCGCCCCGAGGAGGACCCCGGGGTGGTGAGGTTTTACCTTTGCGTCGGCCAGGGCGTTGAGGACGTTGATGAGGGCCAGGAGAGAACGGTTGATGTTGGCACCCTCCCGGAGCCGCTCCCCCTTCGCGTGGGTGCTAGACGCCCGCTCCGAACCAGCCAGGTCAATCAGGCTCATTTTGGCCACTTGAAGGGCCTGAGTCAGACCTGGAACCCGGTCCTGCTGCTTTACGAAGATCTGGGGGGCAGATGGCAGGGGTGAGGGAGTGCTGGGCCTCAGGAGCCCCAGCTTCAGGCTCCCACGCCTGAGGCCCTCTCACCTGGAAGATGGCATGGGAGCGGGAGGAGGTAGCATTGGCATCAGTCGGGTGCTGCGTGCGGTTGCGGTTTCCCCGGGTCAGCATGTCCAGCAGCTGCTCGGCTGAGGTTGGCTACGGAGGAGATGCCCAGGAAGGGGGCTGCGGTCTCCCGGAAGGGGGCTTTTCCCCCCAACAGGAAGAGCCGCTCTTCAGAACCAGTCAGCCCCTTGCTCCCCCCACCCCGCCCCGATCCAGGGCATCTCCAAACTGTCCAGTGAGAGAACCCAGGGGCCTCTCCTGCCACCTGAGCCCAACCCCACACCTGGTGGAAGGAAAGTCCTTGCACCACCACGCCCTTGTCGGGGTCCTCGCGGATGGCAAGGGGCCCCTTGGGCTCCAGGAGGTCGTGGATCTGCTCATTGTACACCTGCGGAGAAAGGAAGCAAGGGAGAGGCCTGAGGGGCAGGGCAGGGGCCGCACGCAGGACACCATGCCAGGAGTGGCGCTTTGCAGGGCAGTGGTAAATGGCAAGAGAGCAGGACAGGCAGGTTTAATTCCAACGCGGTCTCTCTCAGAGCTGCATCGACAGCCCTCTGGGCTCTCAGCGGGCCCCCATCTGCCCACTTCCTACTGCCTTGTCTCCCCACTCTCCCTCCCCACCCCCCATCTTTAGGGGTTGCAAGAACGAGGGGTGAGGCAGCAGGGGCCTGTGGGGGAACGGCCCTACCTCCTGGTAGCTGATGAGCACCTCGAATCGCTTCTCCTCCTGGTGGGCCTCAAGCCGCCTGTACAGCTCCATGGTGGTCAAGTACATGATGCCGGGGTCCCCCTCTCTTCCCAGCATGGTGTGTGTCTTCCCTGCCCCAGTGGCTCCATAGGCAAACACTGTAGGGGACAGGGTGGGGGTGGGGTGGGGGTGGGGCCGGATCCGCCTTCCCTGGGGGTCACCTGTGCATTTCCACCCAGCCCAGCCCTCCCCTTCTCCCCCAGCCCCTCCCTCTGCCTCCCTGTGCGCAATTCCACTGCTGATGCATGCAGGCGCCCCGCCTAGTTCACACTGCAGCCCGTGGCCCCTGTGGGCCCATGGCTTCTGGGGCAGAGAGGTCTCCACTCTGAGTGGGAGCTCCTTCCTTCCTCAGTTCAGGCAGCTTCCTCTGCTGCAGGCCTGCTCTTCTTCCCCTCACATAACTACCCTCAGTTTACAATCACATATTTGTGGGGGTGATGGGTGATGCCTCTCTTCTCCCCCTGCCCCCCACTTCTCAGAATGCAAGCATCAAGGGGACAGGAAGCGTGTCTGTCTGATCTGCTTCTGGAGCCCAGTAGAGTATTTCACAAAGGAGAACGAATAGGGAACCCGCAGGAGATGAAAAGGCCCAGAACCCTCCACAGCAAGTGCCTAGCTGAGGGGAAGGTGGGCACATGTCAGAGGACACATGAAACGCTTCGAAGCAGGGGGGCAAGGCCACCACCAGCCAGGCCTGGTCCTCCTTGCCGCCAGGAAGGTCCTCACCTGAGCAGTTGTAGCCCTGGAGGAAGCTGTCCAGAACGCTGCAGGTGGTGTGCTGGAACACGTCCTGTTGGGTGGCCGTCTCACCAAAGACCCGGTCAAAGACAAATGTCAGGTCTTTGCCCTTCTTCTTGGGGCCATCATGGGTACTGCCCCACTTCAGGCCCAGGAAGCCCCCATCGGGCTCCTCAGGGTCAAACACCAACACCCGCTCGTCCACCACCTGAACGACAGGCCGCCGCTGACTCTCCAGTTCCCGCGGGGTGGGGGGCCGGACCCGCACCACGACCCGCACCTTGCTGTCCTCCACCGCCATCACCATGGCAACACCTGAGTGGGCACACAATGGAGAGGAGGACCAGTCTGACCCGAGGCCTGACAAGGCGCCCCCTCAGCCGGGCTGGCGTTCGAGGGCTTTCTCCAGCTCCCTCCCCAGCAACTGAGCTTCACTTGATACCTAAGAGGATAGGAGTTGCCAGCACCAACCGGTAAATATCTCTTTCTCACTTGAAATGCCACCTATCCAAATGACCTGAGTGCTTTCAGAGACCTATGATGGGGTTACTATGTTCCACAAACCTGGGCCAGTGCTGCACTGTTTCCACTCCATTCCTTTACAGTATGCTTTTTATCCAGTAATGCAAGAAGCACCTCCTGCCCCCATTAGTCTTTCTTTTTCATAAATGTCTTGAAACTTTTTTTAATGTTTATTTTTGAGAGACAGAGAGACAGAGTGTGAGCAGGAGAGGGGCAGACAGAGAGGGAAACACAGAATCCGAAGCAGGCTCCAGGCTCTGAGCTGTCAGCACAGAGCCAGACGCAGGGCTCGAACCCACGAACTGTGAGATTATGATGTGAGCTAAAGTTGGATGCTCAACTGACTGAGCCACCCAGGCCCCCTTCATAAATTTCTTAACTATTATCCATGCATTTATTGTTCTACTTGACTTTAAGAAAATGTTATTCATTCCACCCCCACCCCAGAACACACCCCCCAAACAATACTGGGATTACAAATTGGAATAGTATTAAAATTTTCCATGCAAGAACATGGCTATTGCCTTTCTATTTATTCAGATATTTATGTCCCTCAGTAAGATTTTATAGTTTTCATCTCTTCAGATAGGTTCTGTAATTGTCTTTGTAATATAATTCCCAAGTACTTTAATTGCTCTCATGAATGGAGCACCTTCCCACATCTCCATCTCCAGGTGGTAACTGCTAGTGTGGAAGAAACACATTGTCAATTATACATTTGCCTTCTACCCACTACCCTTAAACTCTTACTGATCCCAATTGTTTTTATTACAACTTACTGGGTTTTCTGAGTACAGAGTTATATATCAGAAAAAATATTTTTTTTACCTTTTCTTCTCCGTGGTTATGCCAAATATTTTATTTCTTATCTATTACATTCCCTAGAACTTACAAAACAATGTTGAATAATAATGATGATAATGGGCATCCTTGTCTTGCTCTTGATCTTTTTTCAAAATGTTTTTTTAGCATTTATTCATTTTTGAGAGAGAGAGAGAGAGAGAGAGGGCATGAGTAGGGGAGGGGAAGAGAGAGAGGGAGACACAGAATCCGAAACAGGCTCCAGGCTCGGAGCTGTCAGCACAGAGCCTAACATGGGGCTTTGGTATCAAACCAACCATGCATTCTTGGTTAAATTAAAAAAAAAAAAATCCTACCCTGGCCATACTGAAGTTTTCCTTTTTTTCTTTGAGAGAGAGAGAGAGAGAGGGCGCAAGTGAGCAAAGTGTAGAGAAAAAGGGAGAGAAAGAGAATCCTAGGAGGGGCAGACAGGGAGACAGAGAGAGGGAGGGAGGGAGGGAGGGAGGGAGAGAAGTGGGGCTCACTGAAGCAGGGTTTGTACTCACCCAAAGCAGGGCTTGAGCTCATGAACCATGAGATCATGACCTGAGTCAAAGTCAGATGCTTAATGGACTGAGCCACCCAGGCACACCAGAAGTTTTCCATTTTTTATTTTTTTTATTTTATTTTTTTTTAAATTTTTTTTAATGTTTTATTTATTTCTAGGAGAGAGAGAGACAGCGTGAGCAGGGGAGGGCCAGAGAGAGAGGGAGTCACAGACTGAAACAGGCTCCAGGCTCTGAGCTGGCAGTCAGCACAGAGCCCGACGCAGGGCCCGAACCCACGAACCACGAGATCATGACCCAAGCGAAAGTCGGACGCTCAACCGACTAAGCCACCCAGGCGCCCTCCATTTTTTAAATTAATTAATTAATTAATTTTTGAGAGAGAGACATACAGAGAGAGAGAGAGAGAGAGAATGAGTGGGAAAAAGGCAAAGAGAGAGGGAGAAAGAGAATCTTAAACAGGCTCCATGTCAGACATGGAACCCAACACAGGGCTCAATCTCACCACCATGAGATCATGACCTGAGCTGAAATTAAGAGCTGGACACCAAACCAACTGAGTCACCCAGGTGCCCCTGAGGCTTTCCGTTTTTAAATGGCTAAATGTGTCAACCTTCTTTTTTATGGTTTTATATTTAAGAATACGTTCCTTCCCCAAGGTAATTTTCTTATATTTCCGTCTCATACTTTTTTATTCTTCCATTTAGGTCTTTATCCAGATAATTAATTTTTTGGTGAATGAGATTTCTAAATATCTTTTCTTTCTTTCAATGTTTATCTATTTTGAGAGAGAAAGAGCATGCACGTGCATGAGCAGGAGAGGGGCAGAGAGAGAAAATCCCAAGCAGGCCCCACACTGTCAGTGAAGAGCCCAACATGGGGCTTGATCTTACAAATCGTGGGATCATGACCTGAGCTGAAATCGAGAATCAGACACTTAACTGACTGAACCATCCAGGAGCCCCTCTAAATATCTTTTCTTTCCAAATGGTAAGCAATTGTATCAAGACCATTTATTCAATAGTGCATTCTTTCTCTACCAATTTGAAATGCCACATTTAACAGCACTATATTCTCATAGGAACATGAGTTTATTTCTGGGCTCTTCATTCTCCTCTACTGATATGCTCCTTTTGCAGTAACTTGTTGTGATTGTGGTGGTTCTATTATACGTGCCTTTTACTCCTTTTCTCAGCTCTTCTTGGGCATCTTGTCTCGCAGATGATTTTGGAATCAGCTTACCGAGTTCCATGAAAAACGCGGCTAAGATTTTATTTGGGATTACTTTGAATTTATAAATTAGGGGGCGCCTGAGTGGCTCAGTCGGTTAAGTGTCCAATTTCAGCTCAGGTCATGATCTCACAGTTCATGGGTTCGAGCCCCGCATCAGGTTCTGTGCTGACAGCTGACCCCCTCACTTGCTCTTTCTCTCAAAAATAAATAAACATTAAAAAAAATTTTATAAGTTAACATGAAGATAACTAACGTTTTTATAGTGTCAAGTCTTCCCATCTAGGAACATAGTTCTCTCTTTTCATTGTTCACAACTTTATAATCCTCAGTAAAATTTCATAGTTTGCCTCACATGAGTTTTGTTTATGTCTTGATAGGTTTATTGCTGGTTATTGTATAGTCTTTATTAGGCCCTTTTTATTTATTTATTTTTATTTTTTAATTTTGTTAATGTTTATTTATTGAAAGAGAGACAGAACATGAGCAGGGGAGAGGGGCAGAGGGAGACTCTGAGAGGGAGACAGAATCTGAAACAGGCTCTAGACTCTGTGGTGACAGCAGAGAGCCCAAGGAGGGACTCGAACTCACCAACCAGGAGATCATGACCTGAGCTGAGGTTGGAGGCTTAATCGCCTGAGCCATCCAGGCGCCCCTGGACCCTTTTTAAAATTGCATTTTCAGGGAAGTCTGGCTGGCTCCAGTGGTGGAGTATCTGACTCTTGATCTTGGGGTTGTAGAGATTAGGTAAAAATAAAATCTTTGGGGCACCTGGCTGGCTTAGTCAGTAGAGCATGACTCTTGATCTCAGGCTTGTGGAGTTTGAGCTCCACACGCTGGGTGTGGAGCCTACTTAAAATATAAATACATAATTAATAAAATCTTTAAAAATAAATATATCAAAATATAAAATAAATAAAATTGCATTCTCTAATTCTTTTTTCCCCCCCAGAACATAGGAAAGCAACTGCTTTTGGATGCAGATCTCGTATCTGGCCACATTACTGATTTCTCTATAAACTGTCATTGATTCTCTTAGGTTTTTCCAATAAAATGATAATATTGTTTGCAAATAATGAAAGTTACTTTCTATTTTTAGCTCTGCTATATTTAGTTCCCTACCCTCCACTACCCATTGGGAATGGACATTACAGGGGTGCCTGGGTGGCTCAGTCAGTTAAGCGTCTGACTTCGAATCAGGTCATGATCTCGCAGTCAGTGGGTTCGAGCCCCACATCGGGCTCTATGCTGACACCTAGCTCAGAGCCTGGAGCCTCTCTTCAGATTCTGTGTCTCCTCTCTCTGACCCTCCCCTGCTTGCACTCTCTCTCTCTCTCTGTGTCAGAAATGAATAAAACATTAAATATAAAAGGGAATGGACATTACATTTTATCAAATGCTTTTTTGGCACAGCCTGAGATGATAACAGTGTTTCTTTCTTTTTTTTTTGGTAAGCTCTATACCCAACATGGGGCTCGAACTCGCAACCCCCAGATGAAGAGTCACATGCTCCACTGACTGAGCCAGCCAGACGCCCCATCCTTTAATCTGTTAATACAGGGGATGACATAGATAGATTTCCTCATGTTGACCTGGTAATAATTCCAATCACTTATTTGTCTATTCCTTCTTGATTTCCCCTCAATCTTTCTCTCTCTCTCTGCTTTTTTCATTCTCCTTCAAGCCAGTCTACCAAGGGTAGAGATGGAATTTCTGGAATGCAGGAGTCATGGATATCCTGGAAAAGTTCAGCCTACTTCTAGAGATATATTAACAGGGCTTAGGAACAGGGGCTGTTTCTGGGGGGCGTGAATAGTTGAATGCTTTCCCAGGAAAGACTAGGTCCTAGTAACAGGAAAGAAGAGTGAGATTTCTCCCTAATACTACAGTAAATTACTCAGTTTTTCCTTTGGGAATGAGGCAGACTTGAGGTGATTTGAAACTCTTGGCCCCTACCCCCATACTTCGTAATTTCTTCCCAGCACAAAACAAGGGAAAGATGTCAGCCAATAATAATCTTGTTACATTGTATAGTTCTCTTCCTGTCCCAGCAATCAGACTCTCATAATAAACATAAGAGCTAAGTGCTCACTCTGCAGGGGCTGTTTTATAAAAACACCTTATGGATACCATCTCCTTTCATCTCCATTGCAATCCCACAAGATAGATACTATTATTACACTCATTTTTCAGTGAGAAAACTGAGACAGAGAGGGTTAAGCAACTTGCCCAAGATCCCAAGGCTAGTAAGTGATGGAGCTTGGTTCCAGCCCTGGCAGTCTGACTACACTGCCTTATAATGATATTATATATTATGCTCTCATGATCACGTTGTTGTAATTGTCCCATATGTTTGCATAATAATTATAATAATCCCTTTTATGTAACCAGCATTATGTATTCTGCAAACACTTTCAGATATATGGACTGGACCTAATTTTTAACGCTCGGAGAGAGAGTTCCTGTCTCCCATCCTTGCATTCCTGCCCCCAGGGAGCCCTACTCTTATACCCTGCGGAAGTGAAGGCAGAGGGTGCCTGGTCCTACCATCTCGGTCTACACTGGCTGCCTTAATGGCAGTCCCAGCCCCCCACCGGGAGGGTTTTAGCTGAGGAGGAGCCACAAAGCAGCCTAACATTCTAAGCAGGAAATTAAAAAGGGCACTGGCAACGGAGTGCACATAACCTTTACAGTTCTCTCCTCTCCGCCTCCTGAGGGCCAGTGAGGCAGACGGTTTGCCTAATGAGATGTTTTCTTTCTTCTCGAGACTGTGCTGGGAGCACTGGCTACGGGGCAGGCAGGGTGACACTGGCATGGCTGCAGCTAGGACGCCTGGGTCCTGGTCTCCGCTCTGCATCTGACTGGCGGGAAGGTCTTCCCAGCCATGCCACGTCAATGTCGCATCAGCCTCCCCCTTTGAGAGCCGGAGAGAGAACAGCTACCGATCTGCTCCCACCCCAGGGGGATGGGGAGATTAATGAGACAACGTTTGTCAAGTTTGCTTTGATCCTCGGTTGGAAAGAGCATTTCAGCCCAAAGTACAAGGGAGATGATTCTTTAATAAGATCTTCAGGGTTCTGAGCCAGCCACAGTCACGTCCTGTTTCTAACCCAGGGCAGCTCATTAAAAACCCAGAGGCTAGTTCGCTGCCGAGCTGGGGGTGGGAAGCCAAGATTCAGTTGTTTTCAGGGTAGGTTCCTCTGCCCACCCTCATAGGGACAGGCGGAACAAGACCAAGCTCCTTAGAAGCCCCTGAATTTCTGAGGACTTGAGGGGATCTGCATGCAGACATGGGGAGCTGGGAAGGCAGAGAAGGTTCTATTTTCTTGGGGTTGCTGTAATTCTCATCACTCCCTTACATCTCTCACATATGTCTGTCTTTCTTTCCTTCTATCTCTGTCTTCCTTCCTTCCTTTCTCTTTTACTTGTTTATTTTGAGAGAGTGAGAGAGCACACATGCATAAATGGGAGAGGGGTGGAGAGAGAGAGAATCCCAAGCAGGAGCCTGATGTGCGGCTCGATCTCACAAACCAGAGATCGTTACCTGAGCTGAGATCAAGAGTTAGACACTTAACCAATTGAGCCACCCAGGGGCCCAATCACACGTTTCTTGTCCTCAAGCTTCAAGAGAGCAGGGCCCCGTTCTGATGTGGTCTGTGCACCAGGTCTGGCATGCAGTGGATGCTGTATGGTATTTGTTGTATGAATGAAAAAGAGCCAGAGAAGTGTAAGCTCTGAATCCAAAAGTTTAAAAATAATTACTATTATAGCTAACATTTATTGAGCACATAACTATGTATCAGTTACTGTGCTAAGCCCTTTTCAAATGGTGTCATTAACATTCATAACAATCTCATTGGGTGGCTGTTGATACAATTGTTATAATCCTACTCTACAAGGGAAACTGAACAAGGGAGCTGAAACTTGAAACTACAAGGGAAGGAACTAATCACACAAATGGTAAGTGGCAAGGCCAGAACTTGACCTTGTTCTGAGTGTCACCAGAGGCATTACTAGGCTATTCGGTCCTGTAGCCGAGCTTTTGCAATTCTTACCTCCCCTTACTTTAGTACCCACAGGGCCTAACATCTGAAGACCACTGGTGCTTTCTGTGGGTGGTTGATCAGAGGAAGGAGCTGTTTTATTTTGCTTTTTAAATAGATAATCCTAAAGCTGTAACTGACGGACTTTGTTTATTTCTTTCTAATTGTGATTCTTTCTCTTGTCTTGTAGTTTGGCTTACAACCTCCTCTACACTCTTAAATGGAGGCAACAATAGCCAACAATCTTATCTTTTTCCTAATTGTATAGGAGATGCTCCTATTATTTCACTTTTTGCTGGTTTGAGGAAATTTACCTCTACCTTACCAAATTTTTTAAAAATCAAGGATGGGTGTTGAATTTTATTGAATTCTATTTCTGTGCCTAATGGGATATGTTTTCTCTTTTAATCTGTAAATGTGTAAATTGTATTAGATTTTCTGATGTTAAACCATTTTCACATTCCTGGGATAAACCCCATTTGGTCATGATGTATTTTTTTTAATATACATTTCTGGCTTCTGATTGCTAATATTTTATTTGAGATTTTAACAACTACATTTATAAAAGAGATTGGCTGGTAATTTTCTTTGTCTCATTTTTGGTATCACAAAATAGACTGGAAATGTTTTCTCTTTTTTTAAGGGAGAGTTTGTAGAAGATTAGAATTTTTCTTCCAATTGCTCATAAATTTATGGAGTTTGGTGTTTGGTTTTTTTTAATGGGTAGATTTTAAACTAATCCAATTCCTCAATGGTCCTAAGTGTGTTAAAAACCATAACTTCTTGAAAAATAAAAATAAAACATTAAGAACTGTTTTAAGTGGCACCTGGATGGCTCAGTCAGTTAAGCATCTGACTTGGGCTCAGATCATCCCCCTCACCGTTCATGAGTTCGAGCCCCCAGTCTGGCTCTGTGCTGACAGCTTGGAGCCTGGAGCCTGGAGCCTGCTTCAGATTCTGTGTCTCCCTCTCTCTCTGCCCTTCCCCTACTTGCTCTCTCTCAATCAAAATAAAAATAAAACATTATAAAAAATTTTTCCATAATTTCTTGAGTCAGTTTTGCTAAGTTGGTTTTTTTTCCTAGAAAATTGTCCAAAAGCGTTGTTAAAAGGGTGTTCCATTGAAGTCTCTCTCTAATTTCTCAGTAACTGAAGTTTTGCTCCTATTTTCATTCCTAAGATCGTTTCTCTTTTTTAAGTTTTATTTCAGTAATCTCTACACCCAACGTGAGGCTTGAACTCACCACCCTGAGATCAAGAGTCGTATACACTTCTGACTGAGCAAGCCAGTTGCCCTCCCCCACATCATTTTTCTATTTTTCTATGTTTCTCTTCCTTATATCTTAATCAATATTGCCAAAAGTTTGGCTTTTTTACTAGTCTTTCCCAAGATACAGCTTTTGGTTAAGTTAATCTCTATTACATAGTAAAATGCTATTTCATTAATTTCTGCTAACTCCTTTAAAAAATTTTTCTCTACACGTGTATTCTGTTGTCCTGTTCTATCTTAAAAGGGTCAAAAGTGCCAAAGCTAAGAGAGGCATCCTAGGAGCAGTGGCAGAAGGCATGGTTTTCTGTCATACGCATAGTCTTTCATTCCTTGCTTTAGTCAATCAAATATTTACTGAGCGCCCCAGTAACTAATTTAGGCCGCTGGCACAGCTCTGCAATCAGTTCTTCCGTATATAGGTGCGGAGAGGGTCTTAGCTACTTCACACGGATGTGCAAGGGTCCCAGGTCTCCAAGTTTGGGGAGCAGGGCGACCTTTCACAGAGCGGAGGTACAGGGGGCCGGGCCCCAGGGCGGCTGTGCCGACGCAGTCGGATCCTGTACAAATGAGCAGAGGGATCCCGATCTCCATGAAGTTGTGGAAGGAAGCGCTCTGCTCCCCGCACCGCGCCCCGTCCCGTTCAGAGGGAGCCATCCGGAGCCGACTCGGTCCCCACGCTGCACCTTTGGGTCTGGCACAAAAGCCGCTTCCGCCCTGAGCGGCCGGGTCCGCCTGAGCGCCAGAGCCCGCGGGGCCGACCCCGTCGTGGGCCACAGCTTACCCTTCCTCGGTCCCCCGCCGCCGGTGTCGCCGCTCACAGTCGGGTCCGCTGCAGCCGGAAGCCCCCGACCACCGGAGAGCTCGCCCCACGCTCTCCCCACCCGCGCCACCCGCGCCGCGCGTTCAAATCAGCCGGGTCGGCTCGTCGGCGCTTCCCATTGGTCACCGTCCCGGTCGTTGATTGGCTGTTTCCTAAGTAACAAAGTACAGCTCCGAGGTGGCGGGCGCGGTCAACTGTGCGCTTGCGCACTTCCCACTACTGCTTGCTGGTTTTGAGACCGTGCCTCCGAGGCCGGTCGCACCAGACCTGCAGGAACCTGGATGGGTCTGGGGCACCGGGAAACCGCGGCCTTCTCTGCCGTCCCTGGGGCTGGGTTCTTCACCAACTGCAACAACCAGATCTCAAGCACGTTTTCAAGCCTTTTTCTGTGGGCTAAGACGGCATCTACTGATCCAGGAGGGGCTTTGTAGCCACTGTCTAGGGTCTCTTCCCATTCCGCGACCATCCCAGGAATGAATTTCGAGAACAGCGTTCAGGTGGGAAAACCGGCCGAGACAGAGAATGGCAATTCCACCCTTTTGACTTCGACGGCGTCAGGAATATCATGGACTGGTTGTTGAATACGAAGCTCGGCCCCTTCGGGCACCGCTGGGCAGCACTGTCTCCATCCTTCATAACTGCCGGCTGCTTGGCTTCTGGTGGGCCAACCTCATGCCGATCCTCAATACTGGAGGTTGTGGAGGTCAGAGAGAGGCGCCTGCACTGAAATCAGGAAGCCCGATTCCAATCACTAGTGGCCGAATCACCAATTACTACTGAGACTTCCGAAGTCACTGCTGCTCTCCGAGTGTCAGTTTCTTCACCTATAAAATGGGGTAAATAGGGGCGCCAGGGTGGCTCAGTAGGTTAGGCATCCGACTTCTGCTCAGGTCATGATCTCACGGTTCGTGGGTTCAAGCCCCACGTAGGGCTCTGTGCTGACACAGAGCTAGCTCAGAGCCTGGAGCCTGCTTTGGATTCTGGGTCTCCCTCTCTCTCTGACCGTCCCCTGCTCACTCTCTCTCTCTCAGAAATAAATAAAGTTTAAAAAAAAATAAAATGGGGTAAATATCCTGTCCTTCCTCCTCACCCAACACAGCCTGGATGTGAAAGCCCTCCAAACCCCTAGCATTTGTAAGGGGCTAGCTTTGTATGGATCTGATTAGGATGAAACGTGATGGCTGCCAGGAGCCAGTTGCCTACCAGTTTCATTAACCTGATCTATCCCCACACAGGGACAATGAGCAGGTCTGAGGCATCCAAGAAAGCAGGAGGCAAAATTCCCTCAGTGGACCTGACATTAAGATGGTAGAGTCACTATTTAATAGCTGGTTGATTTGACCCAAACTCTTCATTCACCTACCTGGACCTCCAATTGTCCACACTGCAATGGGATAGCGTTGTTGGTTTGGTAAGAATAACAGGAGAAAACTATGCAAAGTGCAGTCACTGCAAAGTTACAAGAAAACCAGGGTGTTCTTGCCAGCTGCACTATCCAGGAGAAATACAACTCCAAAACATGGCAGCCAGCTTAGGGGTCTCCTCCCCTGTCACTGAGACATGCATTGTAACAGTGGCTTGGGGGTGTAGCTGAGGGTTTGAGGTTCCCAGGAGCCACCAGGGAAACAGATTCCTCTGTGTCCTTCCTTGTCAGCCCGGTCTTGCCTTGGTCCGGTTCTGGTTTGGACAACTAACTGGAGAAGGTGAGGTAAGACAGGGAGCAGAGCTGTCCTGGCTGTGGGCAATGGAAGGGGACACCTAGCTTGTTACTTACAAGGATCAGAAATAATGTAAGTGCACCATATTGCTGACATTCAATGAGATGATAATAGGTATTCTTGTGTTCATTCATCCATTAAGTATTTATTGGTGGGCCCGGAAGGTGACGTCCTGAGGGATAAACACCATCTCCTACCTTCATGGAGGTTGCAGCCCATGAGAGAAAATAAACAATTAAGCTAGTGCTGAAAATGATGTGATATATGGGCTATAATGAGAACTAAAAAGGGGGTCGGGGGAAGGGGCATGCAAATTGGAGCCAAAGGAGCTGTTCTTTGGATCTCAGAATCCAAAGGAAAGGAATTTTGCAGGTAAGAGAGTCATCGGAGCCCATGATGCTGAGAAGCTTTGGTGGGGCCTGGCCAGGACCACCTTAGTGGACACAAATGGACCCTATACTACCGATGCTGATAAAGGGAGATTAGCCTAGCACTGGCCTAACCAGTATTTTGAGGCCTAAAACTCAGATGTGAGGCTTAGATGAGGAATTTTGCATTGTGTGGTGGCAGATGTTTCTGGGCTGATTTAGCCAATATGTTGTGAGAGGCAACAGGATCTCAGCTCTTGTAAGATGTTTGTGTGTGGGTATCTCACAATCTTCAACTGGCAAGATCACTAAGGCTAGGTGCTCAAAGGAGGCTGAGGGGAGGTGCATCATTCCCGAACTATCACTAACCTCCCTGCACCTATGTGCAGCATTAGCTGCTCCAGATATAGGTCAATCTTCAAAGGTCCAAGACCTCACTCTTGCCATCCTTAAACCCCAGCCAGAGGGGCGCCCGGGGGGCTCAGTGAAGCATCCAACTTCAGCTCAGGCCATGATCCCACAGTCCGTGAGCTCGAGCCCCGCGTCGGGCCCTGTGCTGACAGCTCGGAGCCTGGAGCCTGCTTCAGGTTCTGTGTCTCCCTCTCTCTCTGCCCCTGCCTGTCTCTCAAAACTGAATAAATGTTAAAAAAAAAAAAAATCTGAGGGGAAAAAACACCAGCCAGACCTCAAGGTCTGGCCTCGCACAGAGGTCAAGCACAATGAAGACTGAAAAAGTGTCCACTCGGTTTATCAGCAAGGAGGTCATAGGTGGCCTTGGTAGGAGCCGTTCCAGAGGAATGGCAGCAGCCAGATCACAGTGGGAGGTGAGAAAGTAGTGATTACTCTTTTAAGTCATCTGGCTGTCAAACGGAGCAGAGAAAGGAGGCAGAGGCTGAAGGGAGATGCAGGGTCAAGGGAGGATTTTTAAGGGTAGGAGAGCTTTAAAGGATGATGGGAAGGAGCTGATACAGAGTGCCGCTGAAGAATAAAGGGAGGTGATCATCAATCACGTAAAGTCCCCAAACAAAGTGGGAAATACAGTGATCGACCACTCCAGTTAGGCCAGCTGGACGGAGGGGTTTAACAGGATACATAACTTCCAGTTTGAAAACCAGGACAGTCTTGGACAAACAAGGGCAGATTTGGTCACCCTGGTGGGAAGGCCTTGGATACAGAGCCTAGCGGCAGGCTAGGCCCAGAAGGAGGGGGGACAGCTCTTCCGTGGAGGCAAAAAGAGGAGAGGAGGGGCTCAGATGCAGAGAAGTTTGTGGATTTTATGGCAGACATTGGTAGAGTCTCCCTCCTGACTTCTGCCTTCTCTGGCAGGTAGGAGATGTGATCACCCATTGGAGAGTTAGTTTCACATTCCATCTCCTGCCTTTGCTACCAGGCCTGTCACATCATGAGTCCTTAATAAAAATGGCTGAAGGGGCGGGGGGTGCCTGGGTGGCTCAGTTGGTTAAGCGTCTGACTTCAGCTCACGTCATGATCTCACAGTTTGTGGGTTCAACGTTCAAGCCTCGCGTCGGGCTGTGCTGACAGGTAGCTCAGAGCCTGGAGCCTGTTTCAGATTCTGTATCTCCCTCTCTCTCTGACCCTCACCTACTCATGCTTTTTTTTTTTCTCTCTCTCTCTCTCTCTCAGAAAGAAATAAAACATTTTAAAAAATTAAAAACAAACAAACAAACAAATAATAAAATTGGCTGAAGGAATTTAGTGGATGGATGCCATCTGGGGTAGGTGTCACAGGGTGGGTACTCCATGGAGCAGACTCTGAGGCAGAGATCAGCATACCCGAAGTTTACGGGGATGTGCTCTTGGAATGAACATGCGCCGGAGAGCCTTTCAGAATTGTTCTGAGGGTAAAGGCCCTGCTAGGGGACCAGACCTTCAAACCCTCCTGTTAATCTATCATTGGGAACAGTCTGCCCTAAGAAGTGGGCGGGACCTTGGACAAGGCAGCCTCCATCAGCAGAGGCCGTCCCTGAAGGGAGCTGCTAGCCCGGAGCCACCTGGTGCCAGCACTCTCAGCAGCTGGGGAGTAGATCTTTTGGTCCTGAAGGAGACCTGGGCAGTGCGTCACAGCATCCATCATCAAGATGTAAGTTTAGGAGAGTGACAGATGTTTGAGGAGCCGCTATTATGGTAGAGTGGTTATCATGGAGCAGGCACAGCGTTCTGTACTGAGTCAGCCATTGTTATGTGGAAGGTGCTCTCAGTGTGGCCTTAGAGACCCGCAGAGGACTGCTGGGGGGTTCAGGAAGCCTTCATGGAAGAGTAGGCAATGCACCTGGAATGTGAATAATGAGCAGGTGTTCTGCAGGCAGTGGAAGTAGCCCAGGGCCTGGCGGACCCATCCTTGGCTCTAAGCAGACAGGAGAGGTCTGGCTCTTACCTGGCCCTATGCAGTTGTCCTGATCCATGCCAGGGTCCTCACTCAGGGAGCAAAGGGCCCTGTGCCCTGCGGACCTGGGAAGGAACCCTCAAATTTTCCCTTAACCCTCTGGGGAAAGGCAGGATCCCTGCCCCTGTGCAAGCTGGCCGGGCAGCAAGCATTGTGGGAAGGCGTGCCAGGTGACCTGGTTGGAAAGACTGTTCTGGCTGGAAGACAGCGAGATTCAACCCCCTCTCCTGCTCCTGAGAACGGCCAGGCAAAAGGGCTGTTCCCAGAAAGGGTAAGCCATATGATCTTGGGTGAATTAATTCACTGCGCTGTGCCTCAGTTTTCACATCCAAAAAATGGGTGTGTTCATAGTAACTATCTTGTGGGATCATTGTGAGGTTTAAATGAATGAATGTGTTTGAAATTCTTAGAATAGTTTGTAAGGCACTCTTATAATTGGGTGTTGATACAGAGATGAGAATATATGTTCTTCATCCAGTCCATTATTTCCCAAGCCCTTGAGCAAAGGACAAGAAAACCCTCAGCTCCCTGGGTTCTACCCGTACCACC